TCCCCCTCCCTCTTCTGAAGTCAAGGTTCTCTCTGCTTCTCAGCACTCTAACTCTGACTCCTCTTCTTGTATTTCCTTTCACTTGGTAGTGAAAGGCTTGAGCAAATTCAAGTTCATTTTTTTAACAGAATTTGTCATTTTTTTAGCCATCTTTTTATACTTCCGTGGTGTCTGGCTGTTTCTCCTTTTAAGCTGCTAGTAACCATGGGTGATGATTCATTTGAGGATGCTGAATGATGATATCCTAGTTTTATCACTCCTTCATTTAGTATTAGAATACTTATATAAAGAGAACTTTGCCTCATCAACTCTCCAGTTCTCTAAGAGTTATACAGCTGGTGTGTGGACAATCAAAATCAAACCCATTGAATTGATTTTGACTCATAGCAACCCCATTCAGAGTTTCTGAAAGGGTAAATCTTTAAAGCAACAGACAGCCTCTCTTTGTCCTCAGGAGCAGCGGATGAGTTTGAGCATTGGTCTTTATCCAGTGGCCAAGTACTTAGCCCACAGTACCATCATTGTAGGATCAACCCAACAACCCGCAACATCAGGTGACATAGGATTCATTGCAACTCTGTCAGTACAGGGTTTCCGAGGATGTACCTCTTTACAAAAACAGAGAGCCTCATCTTTCTCCCATAGAGCAACTGGTAGGTTTGAACTGCTGACTTTGTAGTTAGTAGTCCAACACCACTAGGTCTTCTTTGTCTGTAGAATAGGTACGGTAAATCCTTGATTTTCCTTACCGGTTTTTAAAATAATGAGCATTTTTCAAAGGAATCCAATAAGGTTTTTTGGAGTGAGCCTCATTATAAAATCATTCTACTTGAATGGTTGGTTTGGTGGACTTGGTGTTTCAGGCTCTTATCATTATTATTGTGATCCCCCCCACCACCAATTATTCTGTCTGGCCCAAGGGCAAACTCCTCCATTTCAGCTTCTGAGTTGTACTGTCACGAGACCAGTGTCTTTGAACACTTTCTGGCCTTCTGGTGTGACAGCCTTTCCTGGGGTGCCGTACGCATTTGCTGCATTGACTCTGTGGAGCTTTGGCTACCGGAGTCGTTGTGGTTAGCTGCCTGTCATTAAATCAGCCTCCGACTCCTGGCAACCACATGCACAAGGGAAGGAAAGACTATGGGTCCTGCCCCAGCCTCACGATCAGCTTTAGGACATGCGGTGATGCAATGTGAACCACATGGTTTTCATGGGCTGGTTTTGGTAGGAAGCAATATTTAGCGACCACGTCTAGGCAGTAAATATACTTAGTGTAACTTGGTTGGCCTTCTCATTTTTTAGGACTTCTTGTGGATAGAGTTAGACATTATGGTGTTTTGTTTTGGTTTGTTTTTCATTTTTTTAGAGATAAAATAGATCGCAGACCCATACTGGTATTTTCGATCTCCCATTCAGCCCTACAGCGCTTTTACTTATTGGTTGGTATACTTTTAAATAAAGTTTTTGGTGCCTGCTGCTTCTCAAAAGAAAGCGCCGCAGAACTGTTCCTGTGGGTTAACTTAATCTCTCCTAGGAAGCTCGCCAGGCAAGAAACACTGTGCGCAAAGAGCAGTAATCCCCGAGAGTCCGGGATTTACAAGGCAGCGGTGTCAGAGCTTAGCTGGCCTCGAGTTGAGGGCTCTCGTGCTCGATGTGCATCAGAATTAGCTGGGCAACTTGCTAGATAAAGTTTCCTCCCTCACGATCTTCAGAAAATCAGAATCGCTAGGGTAGGACTTGCATATCTATTTTTATCTGGGGTGTTTGTAAGGAAAGAGACGTTTTGATGTGTTCAAAATCTAGCCAAGGTATTTATGAGAACACTAATCTTCCCTTAACCCTACCTGATATTTAGGTGAGTTAAAATATTTGGCTGAGACCACCTAGCCAAGGGAGATCTTGAGCCCTATAGTCAGTGCTACATTACCCAAGCACCCCCCCACTCCCCAAATGCTTTGCTGTTGAACTGATTCTGATTCAGAAGGACACGATAGAACAGAGTAGAACTACCTCTGAATCTCTGAGGCTGCAAATCTTCATGGAAACATTGCCTCATCCTTTCCCCAGGGAGCAGTTTGTGAGTCCAAACTACCAACCTTTCAGTTAGTAGCTGAGCATCTAACCCCATTGCCACTGATGCTCCTACTGCTCAGGCAGGAGTCACATCATACTACCCAGCTTTATAGCCCCAGGACTTACGGTGTGTACAACGCTTACACAGTCTCTTCATACCTTTACACGGAGACTTGCCGCTGTATTCTGAAATGTGATTCAGTTCGCCACAGGGCAAAGGACAGGCTACGTAGGGTCTACGTGCGCATATTGAGCTGCTGGGCATGAGAGGGGGGCCATCTAGAGAGCACGCTGGAATGAGGACCCCCCCTGCACAAAAAGAATCCACTAATCAGCTCTGGGCACCCTCCTGAGTTTCTGACTGGCGCTGTGCCCCGAGAGTTTTCGATGGCTAATGTTTCCGAAGTAGAATCAGGGCTTTCTGCCCTTAAAGGTGCCTGTGGATGGCTCAGGCCTCCAACCTTTCTGGAAGCAGCCAAGTAGGCATCACCCAGGAACTCCTAGAAGGAAGAACAATCCAACAACAACAACAACAAAGATTAGGTGCTATCATACAGGCCCTCTGTAGGCCTAGGGGCATCCTAACAAGTGAGCACCCCACAACCATGCAGTTTTCTGGGATTCCAGCTACAAAGGCTTACTTTTTCACCAGCTCCCATTGCTCTATTACCAGGACAAGGAAGGAGGAGGGCATAATCTCCTGGAGAGACAAAGGGCTTTATAAGAAAAGAACCAAACGCAGACAGAGTTGGATGTTCAGGGTTTTCTGACACCGATGAAATTGCCTGGGCCCAGAACCCAAACCTGGGTGACAGAAGCCTTGGAAGGGGGAGACCCTGGGAGGACAAGGTCCTCAGAAAAGCAGCCCCGCCATTACCACCAAGAAGGGTAGACATTTGGGGCACCAGACCTCCAGCAGCAAAGGCTACTTCTCAGTATGTTTTGCTAACAGTTGCAAAGGCAAAGCTCTTATGAGGCATGGGCTGTCATCATACGTGCTGGTTAGCTAGCGGAGATTCGCTACTCGGCTGGAGCCATGAGCAAAGTCAGAAGAGAGGTCAGCTGGGCACTTGATGTGGAGCCCAGAAGTGCTGGGCTCGGTCCCAGCACTACCTCCAGAACATAGACTCGCCGGCGGGATGGTAGCACCGTGGAGAGTAAGCGTCCAGAGGGAGTGGATAGAGGGTGTTGCAGTCAGACAGAGCTCGCGTCCTTTGTCAGACACCAGGGGCCTCCTTCTTTACAGAGAAGCCCCCAGGCAAGAGAGGCCAATCATCTGCGCTTAGATCCCCGCTGCTCCCTGTACCACCAAAGTACGGATTGTCCTTGTGTGTCCGTATATGCCGGATGTGACAACTTGGACGAGTTATCATGATGAGTAAGCGATGGGGTACAGAAGGCAAAGCCCTCTAAAATGGATGTAGTGGTGAAGATTGTGCAGTTCTTCTTGAACGATCGAACGATTGAATTGTATGATATGAGCCAATCAAACTGAAAAAAGAAGAAGAAAGCAAAGCACTTTGCCCAGAGGGTAGAGCACGCTCCATATTCAGTTAGTGGTAGGGCTGTTCACCGCGTGGACCCTCACTAATCACCGTTGCCTTTCCCCTTCCCGCCAGTACTGTATCTGGACAGACGGACTCAATGCACTGCTGGGGAAAGACATGATGAGCGACCTGACCCGGAATGACTTGGACACCCTGCTCAGCATGGAAATCAAGCTCCGCCTCCTGGACCTGGAGAACATTCAGATCCCCGACGCCCCACCCCCTATCCCCAAGGAGCCCAGCAACTATGACTTTGTCTATGACTGTAACTGAAGCTGCCAGGCTGGAAGTGTGCCCCGCCAGCCCCTCCAAAACTGGAAAATCTAGCGAGCAGGGGAGAGGAATGTAGAGCACGCCCACACCTCGGGATCCTCTGGGGAAACTGGGGCTGTGGGGTCAACACTCTCTTTGTTTGGCCTCATCTTTAGCCCTAGCGACTTTCTGCCCTGCCAGGAGCCTGGCTTCCTTCTCTGATTCTCTTTCTAGGCTCCCATTGCTTTAAGTCACATGCCACTGAGGGCCGCAGACCATGGTGGGAAAAGAGCAAACCCACCGCCAGTAGAGAGAGCCAAGGGGCCCTTCCATCCTCATCCTTGCAGGCAGGTGTGTCTTGCCTCTCTGGGGTAGGAAAACCAGCAGCCACACACTGCCTGGAGCTTGCCTGTGAGGCTGAGGGAGAGCTCTGAGGCCCGCCCCAGAGGGACACAGCCTAGCTGCCTGATGCGAAGACCAAACGCCTCCTCCTCCCCAGCCCTCTCTAGAGTCAGTTCACACGGCCTCTCCCCATTGAATGGAGATCTGCTTTCAAATCCCCCACCTGCTCCCTTTTGTCCCTTGCCTGGCCCTAGGGCTCTTTGGTCCCATCACAGTCCTCATTCTAGTCTTCACCTGCATCAGGTTCCCAAACACACAGGCCACCATTTCCTTGCCCACTGGGTGTCTGCACCGTGCCCTGGCTCAACCTGCTCTCCTCGCCACCCAGTCACGGGACTCACTTCCCCGCCACAGCCCCCACTGGCCTTCTTTGTTTCCACACATCCTCCCAGTCCCTGAGCTGGAAGCACAAGTGGTGAAATCAGTAGTCATGCTCCATCTCTAATATACTAAACCTAAATGCCTCTACGACAGGTTGTTGCTATCAAGGATTTGGTGTTGCCTTCTCCTGGGAGGCCCTGCTGCCACACAGGACCGCAGGCTAGGCAAGCTGTCAGACATCCACGTTTACATCATTGTAATTATTACAGGTCTTTACAGGCTGCAAGAGTTTGGGGTTGATTTTTTTGTTTTTGTGTTTGCTTTGTATTTGTACAAAAGAGTCTAACAATTTTTTTTTTTTGCCAAACAGATATATATTTAATGAAAAGAAAAGATACATAAATGTGCATACTTTCCAGTTTGTTTGTTTGTTCTTTAATTATTTTAATCCCAAACATCTTCCCTAGAATAACACTCCCTTAAACATGCTGTGGAATAAAATTCATTGTGATGAGGCGGGAGTTGGTTTTTGATTCGGTCTGTTGGGGGTGGGGGTGGGGTGGCACTCAGGTCAGAGCTGGCTCAGGCAGACCTAAAGTGTAATAGTAGGAAGTGCTGCCTGGTCCTGCCTCATCCTCACGATCTTTCCTACCTTTGAGTCCCTGGTTGCAGCCCCCCTGTCAGTCCACCTCTCGCAGGATTTCCCTTTGGGGATTGACCCTCCATTTGACCTTTTTCTAGTAATTAATCTGCGTTCAGAGAAAGCAGGGCAACGTTTCTGTGCCCGTACTTCTCAGGCATATGCTGTTGGCATTCTGGCCAAGGATGCTTTACTCCTTCTTCTGCCAAGCCAGTCAGGCCAACACCGCCAATGAGATCCACCAATTCTCCACCAATCCCGCTTTCCCACTGTCCGGCTTGGGCCAGGTGAGCCTGCGTCCTCAAAGTGACGCCGTGGCTCTTTCTGTGCTATTCTGTGCTCGGCATCCCCTGAGAGCTTGTTAGAAAGGTCGAACCTTAAGTCACCTAAGACTGAAGTAGGTGAGTCATGTGTGCCTTGACGTCTGAGAAGCCGCACACTGGGCCACCCTTGCTCCTTGCGAAGGCACTGCAGTCTCTGAACATCGGTAAAGAATGTTAGTGCTAAGTCTGTCACAACTTCATCAGGAAAAGCAGTCGCTTAAGAAGAGCATGTCCTCACTTTACACGGTTGCCTTTCGACCGTGACTTTTGCTTGGCTTCCTTCTTCCTGGCCATGAGGTCATTCATGGAACTGGTCACATTAAATACATCCCATCTCCAGGGACCACACTTATCAATGAAGAAAGCTCAAACCCGCAGGCCTGAGATAAATTCAGCCATAGCCAAAGAAATCTCATTACGGGTTAATAAACTGTGGGTCCGAGCCCAGCAATGGATGCTCTTTTAGGACAGGCATCAGTTCCCATGGAGCTGGATCGTAACTCCAAAAGCTGGGAGGGATGTCAGCAAGGTCTGGCTGTGCAGAAGCAGCACAAACCGTTCTGTACACGCAGCACACGTTCCAGATGCTTTCTGATCACTGATCGTTACCGCCGCCTAGATGTACCATTGCAGATGTGCCCACAGCATGGTCCAGAGCCCTCAGACAAAATTGCAGGAAAAATGAATTCTTTATAATCCATGGTCATTCTCTGGTTATTCTTGTCATCAGAAACCTCACTTCTAGGTATTAAGTTAATAATACCTTTTATCCTTAAGCTTCAGGGATAGAAGCGACTGTGACTGGGTCCTTAGGGCATTGATTGACATAGCATCAGCATGATGAAATGGTAAGGGTTGAGTGAAAGAAAACAAGTAGGTCAGTACCATTTTACTTCAGACCCACATGAAGGGGAATTTTCTGAACCAAGAAATCTGAGGTCTTTGGACTCTGGGTTTAAAAGACGGATCCATCCTGTGCTGGGAAGGGTTGTCCTCCCTTCTGTGGTCCTTAAATCGGAACTGTAACCCTTTCCGTACTACCGACAACAGTAGCTTTCTACCCCTGAGTTGAGACCCCTTAGCTGGTGAGATCCTGAGAGTGTGACTTATTAGTTACCATCAAGTTGATGGCGACCCAACCTGTTACAAATAACTGTGTTCCATTGGGTTTTCTTGGCTGTAAATTGAATGGAAGTAGATCACCATGGAGCCACCAGGGGAGTTGAACTGCCCACCTTTAGGTAAGCAGTTTAATGGAGCCATTTGCACCACCTAAGAACATTACTGTCCTGTATTCGTCCACTTTGTGGTGATACTTTCCAAGACTGGTGCCCAGCAGTTGTTTTTCCATACATCCTACTGGCTCCAGTTCAGTTGCTGCTGCCCCAAACTTTCTAATGGTGGATAAACCAATCCAAGCTCAATACCACTGAGTGAACCCCATAGGACAGGGCAGAACTGCCCCTGTGGGTTTCCAAGACTGTAAGTCTTTACTGGTGCCTTTGAACTGCTGACCTTGTTAGTAGCCCAACTTGTAACCTACTGAACCATTAGGGCAGCAGTTCTCAACCTGTAGGTCGTGACCCCTCTGGGGGTCGAATGGCCCTTTCACAGGGGTCGCCCAATTCATAATGGTAGCAAAATTACAGTTACACGTAGCAACGAAAATAATTTCATGGTTGAGGGGTCACCACCACATGAGGAACTGTACGAAAGGGTCGCATTAGGACTCCTGGAGGCTGGGCATATCAGCGAAATTCAAGGGAGAAGTTCCATAAAAAGCCGCATTTGGCAGTGAAGCCTTAGCTGCATTCTCCAATCAGCTCCAGTTTACTTAAAATAAAGCAGATCATTTATTTTGCCTTTGCTAGTATTATAATTCTTCTTAAGAGAGCAATTAATTGGCCCTTTCAAAGCTCAATGACTACTTTTAAGGATAGAGAAAGCTAAGAGGAGGGAGGGTCATTGCAAAAGAAAAAGTACATTTCCTGACTCTACTGGCAAGTCCTTTCTAAACCACCTTCCAATGAGCATTTCTTGCCTGCTTGCTCTAAGAAAAGACCAAGCAATCTCAATGACATACATGCCTTTCATCCACTTTGTTTTAGTTATGAAAATCGTTTATAATTACCAAACATCGTTAAGAAAATAAAATATCCGTTGAAGCCTGGCATTCTCCATGGCCTATATGCCTGTGAACGTTGGGCGTTGAATACAGAAGACCGCGGGAGAAGAGCTGCATTTGAATTCTGGGGCTGGAGGAGAGAGTGAGAAGTCCATGGGCTCCTTAAAGGACAACCCGGTCTCTAGGGAAGAAGGAAGGCCAGAGTGCTCCTTAAAGGCAAGGGTGGCAAAACTTTGTCATACATACTTTGGACGTGTCGCCAGGAGAGACCAGCCCCTGGAGAAGGGGACGCTGCAGTGGCTGCGTCCGTGGGCACAAGAAGGGGGACAAATGACAGTGGACTGCCTGTGCAGGTTGGAGGCGATTCAACGGCACCTCACAAAAACAGCAGCATTCAAGGGCTTAGAAGTAGACACTAAGAATGCAAACACAACGTTAAATCTCTGTAAAAGCATTGAAATGACAGTCAAGGAATCCATGGCATAATGGTTACCAGTTGGGCTGTGATCCACATAGTCGGTAGTTCAAAACCACCAGTAGCTCTGCAGGAGAAAGACTGGGCTGTCTACCTCCCTAAACATTGACTCTCAGAAACCTACACAGGGCTCACTTTGAGTAAGCTTTGACTCCGTGGCTGTGACTTTAATCCCGTCCAGGATAAAACCATTTAGCGGCAGCATGGTGTGGTAGATGATATATGTATAAGATAGAAAGGAGGTTGTGATCAGCACCTTCAAAGGCAAATAAAGAAAGCAGAGGCTTGAGTTAGGTCTTGAAAGTAATAAATCGGCCAGGTAGAAAAAGTATTTACAGAAGCATGATTTTTTTCTCCCCGCTAAGGGTTGCCATCAAGTCAGTTCAGATTCATGAGTGTCAGGGTGGAACTGTGCCCCATAGAGTTCTCAGTGGTGGATATTTCATAAGTGTATTTCTAAGGCCAGGCTTTTCTTCCAAGGTATACCTGGATGAAGTCAAACTTCTGCCATTGCTTGCTGTGAGCAGTCCAGCGCTTTACACTACCCGGGGACTCTTCATGGAGGTGGGGGTGGGGAGGGAGAGGATATTAAACCTGTGACTACTCCAGAATCTGTAAGTAATTCAGTATGGCTGGTACAGAGGCTGTGTAAGAGAGAACAGAGGGAGCTAATACGACTGAGGAATTGAGGCACAAATCATGAAAATCCTGATGCATTTGACAAGCAACTTTTACTTGAGGGCAAAAGAAAGTGTATTAAAGAGAAGTGATGTAGGCAGATATGCCATTCAGAAATATCACAAAGACCAAATAACCACGTAGAGGCAGGATTGAAGTGAGATAAATTGAGAGCACAGATATTCACTAGGAGAGTGTTGAAACAGTCCAAGCAAAAGGCACTTGAGCCCAGCCTTTAGTATCAGCAGTGGAAATGGAGTCTAACACTGCCCAAAAGGCAGCATTAGCTGGAAGCACTGACCTAATTAAATGTGGGAGGGAGAGAGGAGGATTGCATGGTGACCCCTAAGCCTCTGGAAAGGGAGAGTAAGTCGATAATAGCTCTCTTATCTAAAACCAGGAAGAGAGGAGGAGAGAGATTTTAGAAAACAATAATGAAATGAGATATTGAGACTGTAAATTTATTAGACTTCTCCCTATTGAGAAATAACATCTAGGACAAGCATTTAGCCATTCTGAGCCTCTCGCCTCTTTTGGAAGGTGGAAATCTCATTTGTTGAGAGGACGGAAACCCCTGCCATCAAGTGGATTCTGACTCATAGTACTAAATAATGCTTCAGAGGCATTGTCAACCTTTCTGGGAGTCGGCAGACCCGTATTTCTCCCACAGAGTGGCTAGTGGCTTCAAACTACCATCCGTTGCAGTTAACAGGCCAAGGCAGTGCCATGAGGACCCCGTGAGAGGCTGGGTAGTGAGTCTGCTTTTTCCCCTCTCTGTCCTTCCAGCCCCCGCCCCCCCCCTTTATGATCTCTGGAGACCTGAATGAAGGATCTTTGGTATAACTTAGCTAATGAAGTATTTTAGCCAGTTCTACCTGTTTTGAAAAAAGGAAGGAAGACATAAGAATTTCAACCTTTGAAATGAGATTGCGAGGTAACTTGTAAATAAATAAATAAAATGTATGTGGTTGGGAAAGTATGGCATAATCTGATTTTAAAAATATAATTAGATGCTAATTTTTTTATTAAATGTAATTTTTTCTGACAGTGATTGTCTATGTACATACTTTGTCTTTGAAAATTTTTATTCAGAAAATTAATCAGAGCAGACCTATATAAAGGAAGAACAT